TGTGTGTGTGTTGTTTTGAAAGGACCCCCACATTCTCTCTCTGATTACCTCCGCGAATGATCATAAACCATCCATAAAACAAAAGAAGTAGAGATAGGCAAGATAGTAAAAATTGCAAGGTTGGCCACGTTTATGTGGTTCAGCGGTAAGTGCCCACACGCCCGTCTGCCGCCGAAGTGGAATACTTGCACATATATATTCTATTTGACGATATATATATATATATATATATACGATATATATATATATATTTATTTATTTATATTTATATATATATATATATATTTATAGTCCATGAAGGGTTGGAGGGCAAAAGGCACTTACCTAAGACAGAAGACTCCTCCCGCACGAAGTCACCAACCCAACCCTCCAAAGGTCCAAAAAAACTCGGAGAGACTTCCGCATCGGCCCACAAAACGACGAACTGAATTACACGAAGACAGCACAAGTGCAATACCATTCGCACTCATCCCAAACTACCCATTCACATCACAGGGTTGAAAGGTAAAAGACCACTGACCTAAGACAGAAGACTCCTCCAGCAAAGAAGAACACCGACCCCACCGGCCAAAGGTCCGAAGAAACTTGGAGAGCCTTCCCCGCCGGCCCACAAACATTCCCCCCTTAAAATAACTCGTGGCCGCCCATAGACATCTAAACAGCCCATGCTCTAAAGCAGGGCAAAATATTAGGCCGTGCATAATAAACCAAGCCAACTGCAAGGAACCTGACAGTTCACAACTTGCTGGAGTGTAACACACTGCATGCATAGACGCCATTCACATAGATAGAGAAGCTTCACACAAAGCCAAGTCGAGATAAGATGAGAACCAAGGTAGCGCACCCCTTATTATCACAACCACTTCATACAAAGAGTATCTCGAGTCCAAGAGTTCAGCACCAACAGAATACAAGTCTCTCTCGTTCAATCATCAGCATGGGGCCTGGCTCAGCCAGCGTCTGCCCTCAGATCACAGGTATGGCGCCAACAGGTAAGTATCCACCATACCCAACTCCTCAACCTGTCTTCTCTCTCTCACTCTCTCGAGATCCCTGTCTTGGTTCCCTTGTCTTACTCTGCATGCTCACTCCGTACTGAAGAGGATCTACTCTGAATGCTACTCACTAATGTCGACTACTAACCCCTCTACTTCTACTAACCAAGTTGGCGCAGCTATGGCTGCTTCTGCCAGTCAGCGCCCGGCCTCTTCTTCTTCTGCTTGCGCAGCTTCCAGCCAGCGCATTCTCCCTGCATGCTAGCGCACAAGTGCTTCAGCACTTCCACGCATCTATGCCAGTGGAGATCTGTCGTGCGGGGAGGTTGGCCTGGTCTCTTGTAGTGTTGACCTCCCTTCGCGAGGTCTGAATCAGTCTTCCTTGGGTCTTTCCCCAGTCCCAGACCACTGCAGAATGTGTCCCAGTACCTTTCCCTCAGGGTCTGCTGCTGCGGCGGCCTTTAGGCCTGAATTTTGGACTTTGGGTCTGAATCTGGACTGCCTGTTGGACTTTGACTTGGACTGGGACTCTACCCCATTGACTTCCATTCGAACAGACACAACTTTTGGACGAACAGACACATCTACTGCACGAACAGACATGACTTACACAGCCCCCTGGACGAACAGACGTGACTCCCACAATTGAATGCTGCAACTGTTCGTCCCGGGGCACAACTGTGACCTTTGACACAACTCCTCACTTCAGTTAGGCCGTGACTTTTGACCCAGAGAACATGTCTTTTGATCTGCTTTTCACGAGTTGGGTTCTGGCCGAGTGGGCCCCATTATGTTGTGTTCGTCATTCAAGGTCTGAACGGGTAAAGACCCTTTTACTCTCGCCGGCCTAGTTTCGAAGTCCTTTGAGAAAACCTTCATCTATCTATGATGCTTATTCCTCTTCTGGCTCTTTCATAAGCAGATACAATACGAGGTGCAGACTCAATCAATTATTCTCTTGTGAACCAGTGATCTTCACTTGGGTCCTGATATGCAAATCTTACTTTATATTGTCGTTGGGGTCTGCCTCTATGTCCAGTTTGAAGAGTACTTTCAGCAATAATCCTGTCCACATCATATTTTTCATCCATACGAGGAGGGATCGCCGATCGGCGACTGGGAAACAACTCATTCGTCACGCAAGGTAAGAGTTTTGAGGCATGAAACACTGGATACGTATGCAAATGTAGAGGAATCTCAATCATGGAAGAAGGTCCATCCACATCTCCAATCACATCTAGAACGTGTCAAGGTCCTGTGTAGGCTGGTAGCAATTTTTGGGAAATGTTCTCCTCACGAACGAACTCTTTAGACTTAACCCATACCAGATCACCTACAGCAAACTGAGAAGGTCTTCGGTGTTTATTTGCCTGTTCTATCATTTGATGTTGTGCCTTTATTATATTCTCCTTTACTTTCTCAATGTTTTTCTGATATTGGATCGCAAATTCACTTGTTCCTAGTGGAAGCTTATGTACTTGATCCGGGTTCAGGCGATCGATAGGTCTGCGTGGAGGCCATCCCAAATGTAACTCCATTGGAGTCTTGCATGTAGACAGGTGAACAAAGTTGTTATAAGCACTAATAACTTTGGGCAAATGCTCGTCCCAATCAATCTGGTCGGGACGTATGTACATGCGCAATGTTTGCTGCAAAAACTTGTTCATTTGCTCAGTCCGGCCGTTTGTCTCAGGGTGTCTGCCTGACGACATAGTCAACTTAGAGCCATAGACGTTCATCAGTTGTTGCCATTGTTCACTCGTGAACCACGAATCTCTGTCACTTACAATCGTTAGGGGATGTCCATAATCCTTCACCCAGTGGTTACAAAATTGCCGGATAACCAATTCTGTTCTGGCTTCCGCTGGCAATGCTACAAAGGCAGCATACTTACTATACCTGTCAACGATGACCATAACTTGCGTTTTTTCATTCCTGCTTTTTACTTTAGTATCCATAAAGTCAATGAACACAGAGTTTCATGGACCTGTTGGGATTGGCAAAGGCTTCAAAAGACCAAGGGGAGGCTAAGTGGTGCTCTTATTTCGTTGGCACACTTGGCAGCCCTACACATAAGCGATGCAGTCGGGTTTCATACGAGGCCAAGTGTAGGAATGCGAAAGGTTTGCATATGTCTTCTTCCACCCGAAATGGCCTTCGGTTTCGTGGCACTCCCCCAGGATCAGACTTTTGATCTCCTCCACATTTGGAACACAAAGCCGATCATGCACATCCGTCCTTTCAAACAACAGTCCTTGTGTAATATGATAGTTAGGAAACTCTTGAGGCGCTTCTTGTATATGCTTAATCATAGCACCATAAACAGGATCTGTGGAATATGCATTTCTAATCTTCTCTTGCACATCGGCGCCCATATCTAAATATGTTACAATGGCACTGAAGAAATCAGATCTTCGACTTAGTACATCGACGACAACATTATACTTCCCCTTGACTGACTTTTGCTCAAAATCATATTGGTAAATCTCAGCGGCCAACGTAGTCAACTTAGGTGTCATCCGGGCCTGCGTTTTAAGCCAGCGAAGTATCTCATGATCTGAGTTCACTTTGAAGCGGCGACCTAGGAGATAATGACGCCAATGATCCAAAGCTTTCCGGAGTGCGTCTAACTCTCTTTCATACGTGGAAGCGGCGACCTTCTCACTAGGCAGTCATCGGGACATAAACTCAACAGGTTTGTATCCATTTCCGTCATCTTGTTGGAGTACAGCGCCTATCCCGTCTTGACTGGCGTCGGTTGTCACAACGAAGGGCAAGGAAGGATCGACAAGTTTCAAGACCGGATAGTTGATCAGACATTTCTTTAGACGCTTGAACGAGGATGTACAGTCCTGGTCCCACTTTCAGATGGTTTATTTCTTTCATAATCTGCGAAGGGGAGCAGCGATTATCGTGAAGTGTTTAACAAACTTACGATAATAGTTAGCCAACCCAAGGAACGACCACAGTTCAGCCAAAGTGCGGGGGTTGGGCCAATCACGAATTGACGCAATTTTTGCGTCCTCCGGTTTGATTCCTTTTCCATTAAGAACAAGCCCCAAATACAACGCTTCTCGTTTTGCCCATTCACATTTTTTGGGGTTCAATTTCAACTTTGCCTCACTCAATTTATTTAGCACAAGTCGAAGGTGCTCGCAATGCTCTTTCATATCTTTAATAAAAATCAAAATATCATCAAGATATACGACAACAAATTTATCAAGCCATTCACGAAAAAGTTCATTCAACGTTCTCTGGAAAGCCGCAGGTGCATTAGTAAGACCAAAGGGCAACACAATGAACTCATAGTGCCCATACCTTGTACGGAAGGCAGTCTTGTATTGGTCTTCTGGTTCTACCTCAATCTGATGGTAGCCAGACTTCAGGTTAATTTTCGTAAAGTACCTGCTCCCTTGAACTCGATCCAACAAATCATTGATTCTGGATAATGGCTCAACATTCTTAATAGTTATATCATTTAATCTCCTATAATCAATACACATACAGACCCCGCCATCTTTCTTTGGCACAAATAGCACCGGCGCTCCATAAGGCGAGGAGCTAGGCCTTATCCATCCCTTTTCCAACATTTCATTGAGCTGGGTTCGCAGTTCATCCAATTCTTTGGGTGACATTCTATAAATCGGGCCCTTTGGAATTTGGCTTCCAGGGATAATTTCAATGCGATGTTTGATTGGTCGTTCCACCACACCGCTTGGGGCCTCGGCCACATC